CGGGGGTGGAGGGGCGGGAGAGGTGCCTGCCGCGGGCGCCGCGCCTTCCGAGGACTGCCGCCGCGGGGCGTTCCCCGGCGCCCCGAGAGGGGCCTGTGTGTGTGGGAGAGTGGGTGGGCGGTGTGGCTGAACGGCTCTGCCCTGCCCGGAAACTGCCGTGACCCTGGCCGGCGGCCGGGACTGCCCGGGCGGCTCTGCGGCGAGGGGCACACGGGCGCGCCCCGCTGCCCCTGCTGAAACATTCCCCTGTGACGTCGGCGCCCGGCAGCGAGGCTTTCCAGGCTGGGCCCTCCCGGCGGAGGCGACTCGAGCCACCGAAGGTTTTGCTCTTGGCATCAGAGTGCAGGCCGGGCCCACAGAGAAGGGCTCTCCGTGCGTTTGCGAGTGTCCGCGCTGCACGCGCTGGCTCCTTCCACCCGCTGGGCACGTTTCGGCCCCATCGCCTTCTCACCGCTCCTGAACGACCGCTCGCGTTCGTGTCCTGGTTTCTGTGGGCATCTGGAAAGCAGTCGGGATGTCCCTTCGCTTCTTTCCTTTTTTTGAGTCGGTCAGGGAAGCAAGCCATGCTCGATATTTAACAATCACGTGTGTGTGTGTGGGTGTGTGGGTGTGTGTGTGTGGGTGGGTGTGGGGAAGAGTGTGTTGTATTTGTCATGTATTGGTACAAGCAGATGCAGTAAAAACTCACAGACACAGATTTGAAAATAATGCACACACGGTGTTCAAATTTGAACCTCTCTCGTGGATTTCTGGTGTGGGCCAATGTGGTGTTTACATTATATAACTCCTGCTGTGCAACCAAGGCACACGTTTTTGTTTTGTTTTTTTTCTTCCAGAAATTGTTTTGCTCCATGTGTCCTATTACGGATACTGGTTTTGTTAACCGTGATTCTTTTTCTTCTCTCTCTCTCTCTCTTTTTTTTTTTTAGAATGTAGCAGTAATGCTATTACTGAAATGAATGATTTCCTTTTCCTGAAATGTAATCATGGATGCTTGAATGATAGAATTTTAGTACTGTAAACAGGCTTTAGTCATTAATGTGAGAGACTTAGAAGAAATGCTTAGAGTGGGCTATTAAGTGTACCTGGATGAATTTTACAGTAACTGGTATTCTTGGGCTTGTCCTGCTTAACACGCAGTGATTCCGAACTTGTGTTCGATGATGAGTTTGGGAGTCTTTTAGAGTGACCTGCAACTTTGATGTTTGCACTAAGATTTTATTTGGAATGCAAGAGAGGTAGAAAGAGGTTTCAGTAGTACACATGTAACTAATTTATTTGAACTGTGTGCTGAAGACGTCTGCCAGTTTCTCCAAATGCCTTTTGAAAACTCATCGCAGACGATGGGTGAAAATGCTGAGTTTTCTTCTTGCACGTCAGCTCTAGACACAGTTTTGTACAATGAAAAATACTAATTTGTTTGACATTCCATGTTCAACTACTGTCGGGTTCGGTTTCCTTGCATGTAATGTAGACCTAGTCCATCAGATCTTGTGTTCTGGAGATGTTCTTTATTCAATAAAGTTTTAATTTAGTATAAACATAGCCTCTTTATTCTGTGTGATTCTTGTTTATTTTTGCCTTTGCTTTTTGAGTTGGAGTCTCACTTTGTTGCCCAGCCTGGAGTACAGCCTGGAGCACATCATGGCTGCCACAACCTCAACCTGCTGGGCTCGGTTCATCCTTCTACCCTTGTTGCTTCCAAGTAGCTGGGATTACAGGTGTGCACCACCGTGCCTGGCTAGTTTTTTTATTCATTGTAGAGAGGAGGTCTCACCAAGTTGCCGAGGCTGGTCTCAAACCCTTGGGCTTGGGCAGTCCTCTTGCTTCAGCCTTCCAAAGTACCAGGATTGCAGCTGTGAGCCACCGCACCCAACCTTATTCTGTGTGGTTTTTAAAACTCATTGTATCTTTGAGGTGATTAAAGCCTTTTCTATTGGTTATGAGGACTTGGGCAAATAGAAGTCATCACACTTTCGGGGATCTTTATTTTGTTTATTTTTTTGAGTCGGGAGTCTTACTCTGTTGCCCAGGTTGGAGTGCAGTGGCATGCTCATGGCCACAGCAGCCTCGACCTGCTGGGTTCAGGTGATCCTTCCGCTTCAGTCTCCCAGGTAGCTGGAATTAGAGGCGCCCACCACGCCTGGCTCATTTTTTTGATATATTGTTGTATGTCGCCATATTGCCCAAGCTGATCTCGAACCCGAGTCTCAGGCAGTCCTCTCACCTCAGCCTCTCAAAGTGCTGGGATCACAAGCGTGGGCCACCGCGCCCGGCTTTCAGGGATCTTTAAAAGGACAATATTTATTAGCTCTGTTCAACGCAACGCTAATTGTAAACATTTTGAGATATTCAACTGAGAAAACAGATTGTTGAATTTGGAATATAAACCTTGGATGTGTGATAGGGTTTTAAATAAGGTAATACTGAGTAATTTAGTAGATTATACATGATGGAAGTAAGCACAAAAACCTAATGCTGAAATTTTAAAGCTAGAAATCGTCCCAGAGATGATAGAATAAATAAGAACCGTTCCAGTTTGAACATAGTTACACCCAGCGGCAAGAGTGAAATAAATCTTGATTATTTTATTATGAGATACTGTGAAAACAAATTCTAGAAATCCTTAACACTCAATGAAAGGTCAGCCATGGCCGGGCTCGGTGGCTCAGCCTGTAATACCAGTGCTTTGGGAGGCCGAGGTGAGCGAATTGCCTGAGCCCGCGGGTTCGAGACCCACCTGGGCAACTCTACAATAAGTAAAAAATTAGCCGGGCATGGTAGCGCGCGCCTGTAGTTCCAGTTACTCGGAAGGCTGAGGCGGAAGGATCGCCGGGGCCCAGCAGGTCGAGGCTGCCGTGGCCGGGGGCGGCTACTGCACTCCAGTCTGGGCGACAGAGTGAGACTCCGACTCAAAAAAAAAAAGAAAATACACTATCAACACTTAGTCACATTTTAAGAATGTTTCCTAACTTGTTAAGAATGTTTACGTAAACATTTATTACCTACTATAAAACAAGCTGGTAAATTACTGGAGCATAAAAATATTAGTAATTTAGTAGTACTCCAGTCGCTTTTTATTTTGAAATGAACAAAGCTTGTGTGATTTCAGATGTCAGAGGGTTATGTGAGAACCAGTTTCCCAATCAAGTATTTGGTGTAATTGGTAGAGTCAACATTTCTTAGGAGTCAGGAGTCAGATGGGAAAGACAATTCTCTCCCCGCCACCTCCCACCTCTGTGTGATGTGTGTGTGTTTGCATTTACAATGAGGAACAGACATGACTTGCTTGAGTGTGTGGGTGGTATCCACGAGCGGTGGATAGCCAATTAGACTGATGGGTGCCCTAGTGGAGAGCAGAGGTTTAAAATTTCATGTGTGTGGAGGAAGAAGAGCAAGTTCCTCTTTCAGAAATGGTTATGCCGGCCATCCTAAACATTTCTCAGCTTTACGACTTTTCACTATTTTAAGAATTTTTAGAAATACATATCTTACATATAAATACGTGTATCTATACCTATGTAGTTAATAAACTATAGACTGTGAAATGGAGAAGTTAAACCTCTCACTTCTTTCTATTCCCTGTAATATATACCAAAAATTCTTAATTCTTAGAGGAAATCACTAGTTTTTTGGTTGTTTTGGAGTCGAGTCTCACTCTGTCACCCAGGCTGGAACTGTCACTGCAGCCTTGACCTCCAGGGCTCAGTGATCCTTCTGCTTCAGCCATCCACATACCTGGAACTACAGAGGTGCACCACCACACCCAGCTAATTTTGGGGTATTGTAGAGATGAGGTCTCACCATGTTGCCCAGGCTGGTCTCGAACCCGTGGGCTCAGGCAATCCTCTCGCCTTTGCCTCCCAAAGTGCTGGGATGGCAGGCGTGAGCCACCACCACGCCTGGCGAAATCACTTAAAAATTTCAGGCATCAGCCACTTATCAGACACTTAAGTGATAAGGATTCCTGAATGACTACCCTTTCTGTCCCCATGAACCTCACGGTGTAAATTCTTCCAGAGCTTGCTTTCTTCATTTTGCTTATCTTAATTGGCCACCGACCTGTTGGCGTTGGTTTGTTTTTTTGTGCCCAGGCTGGTCTCGAACCTGCGCTCTCAGGCAATCATCTCACCTCGGCCTCCCAAAGTGCTGGGATGACAGGCGTGACCTACCGTGCCCAGCTCCTACCTGTTTTTACAAACTGAAAGTGGAGTCATGTTTAAAAATTATTAGACATTTACGCAGTTTTATTCCACAAATATCTGCGTGTTTATTTTTCCTGCCAAGACGTTACTGGGGGGCCGGGGGGCTCAGTCCCTCTCGCCCTCTGCCTTCCTGCCAAAGGCGGCCAGGACGTCGCTCTGCTCCTCGCACTTCCTCTCGGCCTAGATGGGGGTCCCCACCCGCTTCTTGAGGAACTTGAGCGCCCGTCTGTCCTTGGAGCCCTCGAGCAGCTCCATGGCGTGCTGCTCCTGCCCGGCAAAGCCGCACACCTCTGGCATCACATCCTGCCTGAACTTGGAGTGCTTGGTCAGGTGCCCACTGCGTGGGCAGCTGTGCTTGGGCTGGCTCATGCTCTTGGTCAACTCGCAGCCCTTGTTAAGGGCCTTGGGGCAGCCAGGGCCATGGCTGCTGCTTTCCACTGGCTGCCGCCACGGAAGCCACAAAGGTTGATGAGACCCTCTTTTTAAAAAAAATACAATTTCAAGTTTAAAAACGGAGGCCATTGGCTGGCTAAGCTATGGTGTGGCCACATGCTCTCTGAGCAATGACCAGGCCATGTTTTCTCCAGCTTTGACCCCCTCCCTACCTTGGGGAGTTGAATCTCCTCTTTCTCTCTCTCTCTCCCTTTCTAATTTAGTTTTTTTTTTTGAGTTGGAGTGTCACTCTGTCACCCAGACTGGAGTGCAGTGGCCGCTCCTGGCCACCGCCGCCTCGACCTGCTGGGCTCCAGCGATCCTTCTGCCTCAGCCTTCTGAGTAGCCAGAATTACAGGCGCGCACTACCACGCCCGACTGATTTTTTGATTTATTGTACAGATAAGGTCTCGCTGCCCAGGCGGGTCTCGAACCCGCGGGCTCAGGCAATCCACTCACCTCAGCCTCCCAAAGGCGCGGGATTACAGGCTGAGCCACTGAGCCCGTCTCTAATTTAGTTTTTAAATAAACTATACTTTCTGCTCTAACTTCTGTGCAATTCTTTGCATCTTTCACGTGGCCTCGGGTAGCACACCAGACACCCATACCCCCGACAGGCCTGACCTCACCTAACATCCTGGAGGCCCCGCTGGGAGTGTGACCCTGACATTTTTGGAGGTCCCACCGAGATGTGACACACTTGCCTCTGAGTGTCGGCCCTCTTTCCAAGCTGAAACGTGGATAATAAACTTTACTTCCTTGTACTTCTACTTCTTTAAAATAAACGAGTAAATAAATATAAATAGATAAATAAATAAAAACTTGGGAAATTTAAAGCTGGGCATGATGGTGAGTGCCTGTAGTTCCAGCTGCTTGGGAGGCTGGGGTGGAAGGATTTCTTGAGCT